TTGAGAATAAAGTAACAAACAATCATTAAAACAAAGACATCTGAAGTGATTACAGTAGCTGATGTATATTTAGCATTGCCAGGGGTGCTTTAGATTAAAACAAATAAAAAAAACGCACTAAAATAAAGCAAAAAATAAAGAGACTTGATTAATCTTAATTTTTTTTTCTTTTTAAATGTAATTTAATCAAAAAAAATCATTTTTTTCCGAGCAGCATCCGCCCACACGCTCGAGAGCTATGAACCTCAATGGGTTTATAGCTTGAAATGAAATGGATATGAATTATTTACTCAATCCGTATCTCTTAAAGAGATTGGAAAGGCAACATGATACTGCGGACAGGTGGCACGGCCCCGTTTCAAGTGGTAACGTGAGCTGATAACTAGCGGTTTCTGACATCCCGTCCTCTCGGTTTGGCCATTAACAGACTAGCGGGGGGAAGGCAACGACAGAAAATAAACCTAAAACACCGGACCCGAGAGAAACACCTGGAATAACATAATCAACTTCATTAGCTGGATTGCTTTTGTTTGCTTTCAGAGAAAATACTCTGAAAATGCATTAAGTTCCTTTTACTAAAATCACTATTCATTTCCACAATATCAGAGGTTGCATTTCTAGTGGAGCGTCAGTGAAGCAGGTTGGATGGAGCGATATCCCAAGCTGCCCCTCTCCACTGAGCACATGTCAGGTCTTCTCCAGCATCTCATGGCACACAACTGTTCCTCAGCCTATAATGAAGACAACAGGGGAAGCGAGAGGCTACTCCATCTCGCAGAGGACCATGATGCAACTCAAGGAAACCCTTAGCGATTTGTTTGAACCTGCTGCGGTTTGGAATGTGTGAGGATCGCTCGCATTTCTGCATCCATCCAAGAGACAACAAACCAACACTGCATTAACTGACACGCTCTTTTAGCGGTTACAGACTAATGCGAACTGCCAAGTTATGCTGAGCCATGAAACAAACTCCAGCAGATGTTTAGTTGGTGCATCTTAAGATAGTGTCAATGGCAGCCTGTAAGTTTGCTTCTAGTAAAAACCATCATCCACAGATCATCATCATCCTTTGCAAACGTCAGGAAAAAATAAAAGATGAAATGACACAAATTATGGCTGGACATGAAAACAGTAGTGCTGTCAAACCATTAACTGTGATTACTCGCATCCAATAAAAGTTTTTGTTTACATAATATATATGTGACCCTGCAGCACAAAAGCAGTCATAAGCAGCACAGGTATATTTGTAGCAATAGCCAACAATACATTGTATGGGTCAAAATTATACATTTTTCTTTTATGCCAAAAATCATTAGGATATTAAGTAAAGATCATGTTCCATGAAGATATTCTGTAAATGTCCTACTGTAAATCTATCAAAACTTCAGTTTTGATTAGTAATATGCATTGCCAAGAACTTCATTTGGACAACTTTAAAGCAATAGCTTAGCAAGAGTAACTCCTGCTTTATAACAATAGAAGACCGACAGATAATCTTCATATGCAGCATTATATCCCACTTAAAATCCCCCAGGAACATTCATCAGTCGAAAACAAAAACACAAACAACTCGGTGAAGAGAAAAGTCATTGTTTCATCGCAAACGAGCGTCAGAGTGAAGCTAATGACAATGCATCACCGAGCTGTTAAAAATGACCCAAATACACACGTTTATTACAACCAAAGCGTGTTTAGCGAATAGAAACGTGAAAACGAACACAAAACGTTGTGTTTTCGAACACAAACGCAAACTGTAACGAAGAATCGCTTCACGATGCTAACGTTAGCCGCTTAGCATCACCTGCTTCGTGAGGAGAAGATGATGCTGCGCTTCGATAAAACACTGTTTTCATCGCGTTTTCTGCGTTAAGGTCTCACAAACGTGTCACGTTTATTCGTAAACACCATTCAAACCGCGACAGCTGTCGCTTGCTCTTCAGGTTTAACAAATAAAAGCGATCGAGAAGAGAAACATCTGGACGCGCCGCATCAACAGAAGCAGAACGAGAAACGAGACACCGATAAAACCTTCACGACACACAACATCTTTAGATTTGACTCCAATCATCAAATAGAAATTAAAAGCCACAAGCATCATGCAGCGGTTAAACACTGAGCGTATTTATAAGCGAGCGGCTAATATGGAAATATTCACCTGGACTAGTGTGAGGATGAGGATGAGGATGGTAGGAAGGTGGAGGTAAGGATGGAGCGGAGAGGAGGTTGTTGTTGTTGTTGGTGGGTTACAGTCGCCAGGACTACGGTGACTATGGCGCTGCAGCTCAGGGCAACGGTTGCTATAAAGCTCGGCGCACAACCGAACTTACGCTGTGGGAAAGGGGCGGGGCTAGCGATGGTGGCTCTGACTGGTTGAGGGAAAACTGACCGCTCAACCGAACTAGAAAGAGGGCGGCGAGTTTCTTTGTGGCTAGAGTGTGTATTAATTATATATTTTGTGGTTTGTGTGTCTTTATTTGCCTACAGTTATTAACATTTATTGTGTTATCATAAAAGCTGAAACTACGAACGCGAGCGTGTATTGTAAAAGAAGTAATATCGTGGGCTGTTCACACACAGAATGTTAATACACCAATAGGAGGCGCCCGTCGCCGTGTGGGCGGGGCTTTCTAAAGCAGTGTGGTTGAGATGAAAGAAAGGCGGGACTAATGCGCCGGCTAGAAGGGATACACACTGCGCTACTGCGCATGCGCACATCAATACGTCGTAATTTTTGTCACACTGTACAACAATAATTACTATTTTTGCATTAGTGTAAGGGGTAGGTTTAGGATTGGGGTAGGTGTAGACGTTAATAAAACACAATCTAAAAAATTGGGCCACATCTGCTGAATAAAGAGAACCAGAATTGGCACTTATAATTAATTATTAATTATTAAAACATATAAAAAAATATTTAAATGCTACCAGATAGATTGCTCTAGATTGGATCATAACAACAGAGTATTAAAGCAATAAATGGCATTAATGTGATATTTTGGTAGTCTGGTCGGTGTTATGTAAGAATTTAAACATTTTATCCAAAAAATATACAAAATACACTACTGCTGTCAGAAATTAAAAGGTTTTCACACACAAACTGGACGAGGGTATGTAAACCTCAAAGGCAATTCATGTTCATAGATGATTTTAGTAGATAAAACATTACAAACATATGCTTTGCGTGTAACTATTTACATCAATATGACTTTAATATGTCATAAGTGCATTATTTTTGCTTATTGGCTTATGAATTATTTACATATAGTGGCCCCAAAAATATTTGTTTACTCAAAATATCAAAGCGTGTCATTTACTGTAAATAAAGATGCACAAATACGCGTTTTAAAGGAATAGTTCACTCAAAAATCTACCATGCCATCTGAGATGTAGGTGAGTTTGATCTTCATCAGGTTTGTAGAAATGCAGCACTGCATCAGTGTCTCAGCAATGGATGCTCTGCAGTGAATGGGTGCCGTCAGAATGAGAGTCCAAACAGCTGATAAAAACATCACAATAATCCACAAGTAATCCACAGCACTCCAGTCCATCAGTTAACATCTGGAGAAGACAAAAGCTGAAACACATCCAGCATTAAGACGTTTTTAACTAAAATACCATAGAGTCTATAATCCATAATAACGCTTCCTCCAGTGAAAAAGTGTTCTGGTGTGAATCAGGAGAGAAATCTGCACAGATCAAGCAGCGTTTAAACAGCTCTAAACTAATATGTGGCTGGATTTTGATGTGAGAGACAACAGGAGATGCACTTTTTCACTGGAGGAAGAGTTATTATGGATTATGGACTCTATGTATTTGAGTTAAAAACGTCTTAAGAGCATCCATTGCTGAGACACTGATGCAATGCTAGGATGAGCACATTTCCATATTTTCATATTCTCGTTTTTGGGTGATCTATTCCTTTAAGCTAAACATTTGGCAAAATTAAAGTTCCCCTATTATGGATTATGAAAGGTTCATATTTTGGTTTTGGGAGTCCTAGCAACCGGTTGACATGCATGCAAGGTTAAAAAACACTTTGATTGTCTTATAATATGCATTTATTTTTACTTTACTTGCTCAACGACTCCCAAACGATTCGCTCAACGATTCATTTTTTCCAAACCCCTCCTTTGCGTGACGCTAATCTGCGCTGATTGGCCCGATTTTTTTATTTCAAATTTTTATCAAGTTTTCCCGGGTCTGCGCGTGCAACAAGTGGGCGGGACATATGCTAATGTTTCATGTTGACGTCAACATAAAACGGCTTGGGATTCGACTCGTTTAAATGATTCAGAGTCGACTCTTTCTTTTGAGAGACAGTAACTTTATACACGGTGCACGTTCAGATTTAAAACTGTGCAGGATGTTTTCATTCACTTAGAGCTGTGTTACACACTGCATGAAAGCTCATTTTCAAACATCCATAATAGGGGCACTTTAAGTTCGTCTGGTTTGAAATAAAACTCATCATGTGAACATGATGTCGACTAAAGGTCGCTGAGCAAAAATGAAAAGTGTTTGAGAACACACAGATACAGACACTTGCTTCTGTGTGACAAAATGTGGCTTAAGCGTCCAAATGTGTTTAAAAAATCCGGTTTCTCCCACTGATTAGAAGTCAATGAGGAAATTCTTCCATAAAACTCCCTCAATGACATACACAACCCAAAGTGAGTTGATGAGATCCACTCTGGTGAAGCAAGCGTTCACCCTTCAGTAAAGACGCATGAGATCCGGCTCGGGCTTCAGATGTGAAGGTAATTATCCTCCGGCACCGAAGGCCCCTGCTCTCCCAGAAACTCTTCCGGTCCGGTTTGGCAGTCGAACACTGCTGTCACAAACACACAGAACCATAAGCATGCGAGTTTCTGCAATGCAATCATGCTGATTTATAGTTTTTGTGTTTTTACCGGCGATGCCTGACAGAGTTGTGTGCAGCAGGTCTGAGGAGCCCAGATTGTCCTCAAACATGGGCATCTGCATCATGGAACAGGGAGGAATGTGTTTGGCAGCCTGCGGTGAGTCACCGTATGAGAACACGGTCTGGACATCGGCAGAGAAACCTGACGGGTGTTAATGCAAAAAAACATCACGCCATTTGATTATTCAAAACACCAAACGACATTACAATCTAACTGCTGTAGTCCAACTACTGCGTCCTTCATTTAAGAGTCCAGGCTTGAACGATGTCTCCTCAGGGCGACATTTGAGCTTGGGAGAACTTTCTTCAATCTGTATGATGAGATTAGACGTGGATCTATTTTTGCCTGCCATCTGTCGCTCTAAGAGTGGAAGGACCAGTTTGTGAATCATTCAGCGCTGATCGGTTTGTTCTCAGCTTACAGTCACATCTTAAATATGCATTTTGCATCTGCTTACTGCACATATGGAAGATATGTAAATGTGCTTATATATAGTGTTGGATGCCACACAGATGTGCTGCCTATTAGTGTTGCTAGGGTGGTGTTGTCTGGTTGCTAGGACGGCTGTTCGATTTTTTGCTGTACAATTAATTGAAATAGAAACCGAAATCGCAGTACTTGTCACTTGTTGGCACTTGTCAACAAGCTTTAAGAATTTCCTGCAATTTTAGTCAGCATAAAAGTTTGAAAATTAAGCCATCCGTAAGCATTAATATTGGTATTTTACATTTTGAATCTAAAAGTAAATTGGTCAGGAAAATTTCTCTTTGTTTCTTTTTTCTGTAATATTTTATTATCTTCTAATCTTTATTATCTATAATTATTATCTTCATTATATATATATATATATATATATATATTAAAATAACATTTAAAATTGCGCTTTTTATCCAATTTTTTTGTATCTGCAGGTGGTTGTAAACAGGTTGCTTTTTAAGTTTGTAAAAAGTTAACTTAATGCACATAAAATTCAACAAAAGTTTGATGGTTTAACATTTGAAAATAAAGCAATTAAGACATCCATAAAATTTTTTCATTGTAATATTGTAGTGGTACAGTAATAATATTTGCTATTTAGTTTTAAAATATTTTTTGTATTTTTATTTAATAGTTACAATGCTACTATTACTGCTAAACAAATCATTATTTATTAATATTATTTTATTGCCAAATTGATATAGCATCACAAAATTTCGGCCAGTTTTTTTATTTAATTTAATTTATTTATTTTTAATCTGCTCATTTTTATTTAAATCACATTTTAATTTGCAGTTTTATCAGAAGAAAAAAAATGCAATTTATTTATTTTGTCTTACCAAATCATACAGCTCTAGTGTTCTGGTATGCTGCTGTAGTTTTTTGCAAACCGGGTTGCTTTACAAAGTTTGCGTAAAAACTTGCAAATATCTCTGTCTCTTGACATTATCAGTATTTCAAAAACATTGTAATACTTGAGTATAATTAAATGTGAAAACTTAATTTGAGAAACATTTTCATACAGTAACCAACCATACCTTAATTTCCAATATATAGTATTTTTTAGATGAAATAGATTAGATAAGGATATAAAAGAAAGCAGGGCCATACTGTCAGGGTGGGATGTCCTGGGATGGCTGGAGTATCTGGGGAGTTTGGGAGTGTTTTGGTGAGATGACAAGGGTACTGAAGACATCTGATGCGACACAGGAACCCTGAACCTGAGAGATCAGATGCTTTTACAGTAATAAACCATTTATTTGTATTAAACATAGGCAGCATAGGCATGGTGCATTTTAAAGAAGTACAGTAGTTCAGTCAAAAATGGAAATTGTCATAATTTTACTCATATAATCAAAATGCTTATCTAATAGTATGCTAACCCTACAGTTATGTAGGCTTTGTTATTGTTTTTTGGTTCTTGACAGCAGTCCACTTTCACTGAAAGGAAGTCAAATTAAGTCACCTTTTTTTCTACAGTGCTTTATACAGTACAGACTGATTCAAAGCAGCTTCACAGCAATGTGTTAATAATGCAAACCTTATTAAATTTGAGACAAATTAAAAAATTTGCCGTAAAGCAGCTCTACGGAAGACAATAGTGTCAATATTCAGATCAATTTGATTAAGTGTTGTTTCAGTTCGGTTCAAAAACAGTGTCAATGTTGCAACATTCATCAATTAATTCACTTGACAAGGAACCCAGATTTGATCAGGTGACAGAAATGGAAAAAACCATGTGAGAAACCAGGCTTAGTTGTTGAACTGGCCTAAATGAACGAACGCTGTGTGATTTATGATTCTAGACTGCATCTCAAGTCAGATTTGTGGACTGATACTATTTTTGCATCCAGCTCTGAAATAACAGCATGAACGTTTCATTTGAACAAGTATGGGTTGACAACGAGCAATTCTGCATGAATTGTACCTTTAAAGGTCATGAAATGCATTTAATAAATTGTATTTTATAATGTTTCTTGAGGTGCACATAATCTCAGTATGTTTTTTTTTTCCATCAAAAACATTCATAGCTTAGATATGAATGGTCATTTTCTACCCTGAATTAGCCTCTGAGTTGAAGGCTCTGTTGGACGGGGTGTGCCTGCTGTCAGACTTCAAATGAAATGCTGTGATTGGATAACATCTTAGCGTATAAAATGACCATTACATGTGGAACTCTCTGAAAACTTTTACTGCCAAGATGAACCAGTGATTCATTTGGAGCTCAAGTTGAGTCTGTGCAGTAGTGGTTCATTTGGATCCTGAGTCTGTGCAGTAATGATTCATTTGGAGCTGAAGTCTGCGCAGTAGTGATTTATTTGGAGCTCAAGATGAGTCTGTGCGGTAATGATTTGTTTGGAGCCTGAATCTATGCAGTAGTGATTCGTTTGGAGCCCGAGTCTGTGAAGTAGTGGTTCATTTGGAGCTCAAGTCTGCGCAGTACTGATTCATTTAGAGCTCAAGATGAGTCTGTGCGGTAATGATTTGTTTGGAGCCTGAATCTATGCAGTAGTGATTCGTTTGGAGCTCAAGTCTGCACAGTAGTGATTCATTTGGAGCTCAAGTTGAGTCTGTGTAGTAGTGTTCATTTGGAGCTCAAGTCTGCGCAGTACTGATTAATTTGGAGCTGAAGTCTGCGCAGTACTGATTCATTTGGAACTCAAGTTGAGTCTGTGCAGTAGTGGTTCATTTGGAGCTCAAGTCTGCGCAGTAGAGATTCATTTGGAGCTCATGTCTGCACAGTAGTGATTCATTTGTAGCTCAAGTCTGCGCAATAATGATTCATTTGGAGCTGAAGTCTGTGCAGTAGTGATTCATTTGGAGCTGAAGTCTGTGCAGTACTGATTCATTTGGAGCTGAAGTCTGCGCAGTAGTGATTCATTTGGAGCTGAAGTTGTGTTAATGATTCGTTTGGAGCCAGAGTCTACGCAGTAGTGATTCATTGTGAGCGCAGTAGTGATTTGTTTGGAGCCCAAGTCTGCAGATTAGTGATTCATTTGCAGTCCAAGTCTGTACAGTAGTGATTTATTTGGAGCCCGAGTCTGTGTGTTAATGATTCGTTTGGAGCCAGAGTCTACGCAGTAGTGATTCATTGTGAGCGCAGTAGTGATTTGTTTGGAGCCCAAGTCTGCAGATTAGTGATTCATTTGCAGTCCAAGTCTGTACAGTAGTGATTTATTTGGAGCCCGAGTCTGTGTGTTAATGATTCGTTTGGAGCCAGAGTCTACGCAGTAGTGATTCATTGTGAGCGCAGTAGTGATTTGTTTGGAGCCCAAGTCTGCAGATTAGTGATTCATTTGCAGTCCAAGTCTGTACAGTAGTGATTTATTTGGAGCCCGAGTCTGTGCGTTAATGATTCGTTTGGAGCCAGAGTCTACGCAGTAGTGATTCATTGTGAGCGCAGTAGTGATTTGTTTGGAGCCCAAGTCTGCAGATTAGTGATTCATTTGCAGTCCAAGTCTGTACAGTAGTGATTTATTTGGAGCCCGAGTCTGTGCGTTAATGATTCGTTTGGAGCCAGAGTCTACGCAGTAGTGATTCATTGTGAGCGCAGTAGTGATTTGTTTGGAGCCCAAGTCTGCAAATTAGTGATTCATTTGCAGTCCAAGTCTGTACAGCAGTGATTCATTTGGAGCTTAAAGGGTTAGTTCACCCAAAAATTAAAATTCTGTCATTAATTACTCAACGTAAGACCTTTGTTCGTACCGTCTTCCACGATTTTGGAGAGTACCCCAGAATGTAATCAACATTATTTATGTTCAGTAGACAGCGCGCGCATGCTGAACGTAAACAATGCTGATTACGTTCGGTGGATACTCTCCAAAATGGTGGAAGACGGAAGACGGTAGAGAAGAAATGCAGAATAAATTATGTTATTATTGTTTTCTTTGCACACAAAAAGTATTCTGTATTCTCTGTAAAATTACATTTGAACCCCTGATGTCACATGGACTATTTTACTGATGTCCTTGCTACGTTTCTGTACCAGGATTTGGATCTGAAGTCTGCGCAGTACTGATTCATTTTGAGCTGAAGTCTGAGCAGTACTGATTCATTTGGAACTGAAGTCTGCGCAGTACTGATTCATTTGGAGCTGAATTCTGAGCAGTACTGATTCATTTGGATCTGAAGTCTGCGCAGTACTGATTCATTTTGAGCTGAAGTCTGAGCAGTACTGATTCATTTGGAACTGAAGTCTGCGCAGTACTGATTCATTTGGAGCTGAATTCTGAGCAGTACTGATTCATTTGGATCTGAAGTCTGCGCAGTACTGATTCATTTTGAGCTGAAGTCTGAGCAGTACTGATTCATTTGGAACTGAAGTCTGCGCAGTACTGATTCATTTGGAGCTGAATTCTGAGCAGTACTGATTCATTTGGATCTGAAGTCTGCGCAGTACTGATTCATTTTGAGCTGAAGTCTGAGCAGTACTGATTCATTTGGAACTGAAGTCTGCGCAGTACTGATTCATTTGGAGCTGAATTCTGAGCAGTACTGATTCATTTGGATCTGAAGTCTGCGCAGTACTGATTCATTTGGAGCTGAATTCTGAGCAGTACTGATTCATTTGGATCTGAAGTCTGCGCAGTACTGATTCATTTGGAGCTGAAGTCTGAGCAGTACTGATTCATTTGGAACTGAATTCTGAGCAGTACTGATTCATTTGGATCTGAAGTCTGCGCAGTACTGATTCATTTGGAGCTGAAGTCTGAGCAGTACTGATTCATTTGGAACTGAATTCTGAGCAGTACTGATTCATTTGGATCTGAAGTCTGCGCAGTACTGATTCATTTGGAGCTGAAGTCTGCGCAGTACTGATTCATTTGGAGCTGAAGTCTGCGCAGTACTGATTCATTTGGAGCTGAAGTCTGCGCAGTACTGATTCATTTGGAGCTGAAGTCTGCGCAGTACTGATTCATTTGGAGCTGAAGTCTGCGCAGTACTGATTCATTTGGAGCTGAAGTCTGCGCAGTACTGATTCATTTGGAACTCAAGTTGAGTCTGTGCAGTAGTGGTTCATTTGGATCCTGAGTCTGTGTGTTAATGATTCGTTTGGAGCCAGAGTCTACGCAGTAGTGATTCATTGTGAGCGCAGTAGTGATTTGTTTGGAGCCCAAGTCTGCAAATTAGTGATTCATTTGCAGTCCAAGTCTGTACAGTAGTGATTTATTTGGAGCCCGAGTCTGTGCGTTAATGATTCGTTTGGAGCCAGAGTCTACGCAGTAGTGATTCATTGTGAGCGCAGTAGTGATTTGTTTGGAGCCCAAGTCTGCAAATTAGTGATTCATTTGCAGTCCAAGTCTGTACAGCAGTGATTCATTTGGAGCTTAAAGGGTTAGTTCACCCAAAAATTAAAATTCTGTCATTAATTACTCAACGTAAGACCTTTGTTCGTACCGTCTTCCACGATTTTGGAGAGTACCCCAGAATGTAATCAACATTATTTATGTTCAGTAGACAGCGCGCGCATGCTGAACGTAAACAATGCTGATTACGTTCGGTGGATACTCTCCAAAATGGTGGAAGACGGTAACTCGGGGAGAAGAAATGCAGAATAAATTATGTTATTATTGTTTTCTTTGCACACAAAAAGTATTCTCACTGCTTTGTAAAATTACATTTGAACCCCTGATGTCACATGGACTATTTTACTGATGTCCTTGCTACGTTTCTGTACCTGGGAACATTGCAGTTGTGTTGCTGTCTATGGAGGGTAAAGGTCTTAATTTGTGTTCCGAAGATGAACGAAGGTCTTACAGGTTTGGAATGACATGCGGGTGAGTAATTAATGACCGAATTTTTATTTTTGGGTGAACTAACCCTTTAAACACTTTTTTATTTGTATTTTTTTGCCACACTGGATTAAAGCAAGAACATTTTGCCTGAATCATACCCTTTAAGCATATTAATTCACAATTTCCAAATGTTTGATTTAGTTTCCACAGTTTCTAACAGGCGTCCGAAGCAGCATTGTGTTTATTCCTGGATGTAAAAAGTGCATCAGAACAGTCCAAAATATAAACCTCTTCCCAAACGCTCTTGCCACAGCAGATGTGTAAAACACACAAAAGCGCAGCGGAGCCTTTGACCAGAGAAAAGCCTGCTTTATTTGAATCAGATTATAAAGCCATGACAACCAGGAACGCATTTGTCGACAACCAGATGCTTTTGAATCGGTCATAGCAATTCACTCCGCCAAGAGAAACTCCGAATGAATGTCAATTAGACAGTGATTCAGTTTGTGGCAACTTACTCAATTGAGGTTCGACCAAAAACATAGCGATAGGAAAAAAACATACGGCATTCAGCGGCCCGGCGCGGATTATTAGACTCGATTCATCAAGATTGAAAGGAGCGTCACAGACACTGGCACATAGAAGTGATGCCAGCTTGATGCCAGCTTGCTGAAGCCCTTAATATTTTCAGTAAAGCCCCGAATGTTTTTACTATGCCCTGTACGAATCATCACTGAGTTTTCATGCGCATTAAAATCATTTCTATTAGTACTGCAGATTTGCTCTCGACAAGACCCGCCCACTGAGGCTCGTACTTCTGATTGACATGTAAACTGGCCAACCAGCGATAAAAATTTACAGCAGCTGCTTCAGGTGTCTGTATAACTTATCGCTGTAATACTGATTTGGTTATTTTTGAAATTAGATTATTTGTTACTAAGCATTGTCACTCTGAAGCAACAAATATAGATATTTAATCATATAATTATATGCTCTAGGACACGGGGACGAGCGATTATATGAATGGTTTGGTTAGCATGGTCTCTTAGTGTCAGGTCAACAATTCAACGAACAAGAAATAAACAGTAAGTGATTTAAATTGCAGAGACAATATTGTCTTTTTTGCTCTATTTCACTAAAGAAAATGGTTCCAAACAATCCAAAATCATGTTGAGCGTCTCCGCAGCAACAGCACAGCGGTGTTTCCTTACTGAATGAATTTGTGTTTTTGAACAAATCGGGTGATTCAATGACTCACTGATCCATTCATGAATTCCTGAATGAATGAATCAGTCGTTTTGAAAGAATTTATTGAATAAATGACTCAGTGACTCACTTAGGACAGTGGCTTGCCGCCACCTACTGGTAATTTTAGTTTCACATTTAAAAGTATCATTCTATTTTTTTTATATATTTATTTAAAACATTAATCTCATAACATTATGTATGCAATTTGTAAGTGCAGTGTAAATGCATGTACAAGTGCTATAAATAAATAAATTTAAAAAAGTGTATAGAACCCTGCATGTTCAATTAGGCTTACTTGGCTTGTATTTGACACATACATGGATGTCTCTGGGCTAAGAACCGCCCCTGCTTCCAGCACTCTGATCTTTGAGTGAATACAAATGTACCTTCATTTTCTCCATTCATAGATGCATGAACGGCCGCCTTTTCTCCTTTTTAATGTCTTTCAGACTTTGAGTGAACTAGCTCGCAATTTTGAGCCCAGCAGGGATGTTGCAGAGGAAAGAGGCTGCTGTGATTCTCACAATACAGTGAGAAAATGTAATGTAGTTATTGTTTCCTTCAAAATGAGCAGGTTATTACTCAATTACTTAATACTTAAATTAGTAAAATCCAGATCTGTAATACGTTTTTGTGAACATTTCGATGACATAGTATTATACTGAAAAACCTTGCTTGATGTTAAAGTCAAAATTGACATTATTTACTCTCTTAATTCATCAGTGCATGTTATTCTAAAGGAAAAACGTTTGTCTTCGTAATCTTTCAGCATTATTATTATTAACTTTATTATTAATTAAACCATAAAAAAGTGTTACTTATATATTTTTTAAATAAAATAAAATAAAATATGAAATAAAAAAGAAAAATATAAATAAAAATGGTAAACTTTTTTTTATTTCAACTAGTTTCCAAGGAAACATTTCTAAAATAACTAAAACTAAATACTATAAACACACAACAAAATGACTAAAACTTTAACTAAAATTATAGTGAAAACAGAATACAAAAATAATACTGATTTCATCAAAATATAATGTTTGATCGCATAAATAGGGAAAATTAATCTTAAAGTTGCGAACGGAAGTAGTGACAAATCTTTTCTTGTATATTTTCAAGTACATCTAAGTGTACTGGATTATTGAAAAAAAAAATGTAGGATGGACTTGGTTCTTTCTGTCAGTTGTTGATTGGATGTTGAGATGTAGGCGTGGCTTTCAAAAGAGCTTGAAAGGGCGGGGCTTAAGAGCAACTATTGGAGAAAACGTCTCAGGTTACGCATGTAACCATGGTTCCTCGAGGGAACGAGACGGTGCATCGGAGAACGCTTTGGGAACACCTTCAGCGTGACCGGCTCTGAATCACGTGTGTAATCAGTCCAATGGATAGGCGAGACCTCACGGGCGGGGTGACGTAGAGACCAGGAAGCTTAAAAGCACATGCGGTGAAACCGGCGTTAGCTTCTAGGAGTGAAGCAAGTGCTGGCAGAGATGACGTAAGTATGGCCCAGTGATGCAGCGTCTCGTTCCCTCGAGGAACCATGGTTACATGCGTAACCTGAGACGTGCCTCTTCAGGAACTCGAGCTGCGTCGGAGAACGCTTTTGGAACGAGTATGCCCACACCGCCAGACTTTCAAATCTCTGCCTAGTGTGGAAGCCTGCACAGCTAGGGTGAGAGAACAGAAGAGCCCGGGGTGGCTCGCATATCTAGACCATAGAACCTGACAAAGGTTAGGGGCGTGGACCATCCCGCAGCGTTGCAGATGTCCTGCATAGAGAAGAAGGCCTTGGAGGCCGCCACACTTCTCGTAGAGTGAGCCTTGACCCCTAGAGGCTGCGGTGAGGATCGACTCGATCCAAGCAGGGGACATAGGTGCCTGCATAGTGGTCGAATCCCACACCACGCCTAGATAAGTGGTCCTCTGTAATGGAGAAAGCACACTTTTCTTGCCGTTTAGTCTTAACCACAGCTCTTTCATGTGAGTGAGAACGACATCTTGATGCCGAACCGCTATCTGCTCTGATTGAGCTAGTATCAACCAATTGTCAATGAAATTCATGGATCTATGGAAGTAAGCATCTTTCAGATCTATAGTCACAAACCAGTCCTTGGACCTGATTTGAGACACAACTTCCTTAATCGTAAGCATTTTGAACTTCAGTCTCATGAGCAGTTCAACAATTGAAGATCTAGAATTGGATGCAATCCCCCATCCTTCTTCGGAATGATGAAGTAACGGCTGTAGAACCCGGACTCTCTGTCGAGAGGAGGGACCACCTCGATGGCCTCCTTCCCCCAGCTCTCTCATGTGGGCGAGAATGACATCTCGATGTCGAACCACCGTCCGCTCTGATTGAGCTAAAATCAACCAATCGTAGATATAGTTCAGTATGCGGATGCCCCGGAGTCACAGCGGAGCCAGAGCTGCATCCACACACGTCGTGAAAGTGCAGGGTGAGAGTGCAAGGCCGAAGGGAAGAGCCCGATATTGGTATGCTTTTCCCCCAAAAGCAAACCTCAGGAACTTCCTGTGAGTGGGAAGGATGGATACATGGAAGTATGCGTCTTTTAGATCGATCGTGACAAACCAGTCCTCGGAGTCCACAGCATGCTCCGCTCCCAGGCAGACAATGCACAAACTGTGTGTATCCGCACCCGTAATGAAACGCGGGCAGGGAGGAACACACAGTCTGAAACGCTGGCTGCCTTCGCCCCTACTCACACACGTCGTGAAAGTGCAGGGTGAGAGTGCAAGGCCGAAGGGAAGAGCCCGATATTGGTATGCTTTTCCCCCAAAAGCAAACCTCAGGAACTTCCTGTGAGTGGGAAGGATGGATACATGGAAGTATGCTTCTTTTAGATCGATCGTGACAAACCAGTCCTCGGAGTCCACAGCATGCTCCGCTCCCAGGCAGACAATGCACAAACTGTGTGTATCCCACCCGTAATGTAATGCGGGCAGGGAGGAACACACAGCCTGAAACGCTGCCTGCTCTCGCCCTTAAGGTGTTTGGTCTTGTCTTGTGCTTTTGACATGATTTCGTGACAAACAACACTAAATAAGACTCACAAACAGATATCAGAATGCCACACACACACAGAGCGCTTGCTGAATGACAGAAAGCTGACGCCGGTTTCACCGCACGTGGTTTTAAGCTTTCTGGTTGCTACGTCACCCCGCCCGTGACGTCTCGCCCATCCAATGGACTGATTACACACATGATTCAGAGTCGGTCACAATGAAGGCGTTCCCAAAGCGTTCTCCGACGCAGCTCGAGTTCCTGAAGAGGAACCAGCATACATCAGCAGAGGGAAGATCCAGTTCTGACATTCTGATTAAACATTACGAGCTCAAATCACTTTTCAAAAACTCAACTTGCATTGATGAATTGTTCCCAAGATCAATGCATTTAGAAAACTAATAGGGTGAATTAATTTCATGCCGACTTTGGAGCAGTAATATCATAGCTGAAATCCTCCTGAATAACATCAAGTTCTGCCTTATGTTATTTCCCACTCAATATTCTTTTTCACTTTCACAGAAGTTAAATGCTGTGACTCATGCATGTCAAAACTGATCATGTTTTTCTACCTGTTGTTTCCCTGTACGGGCGGCAGCTGCATGTGGCTCTGAAGGGTCTGTGGATTGGATGGGATCTGCAGGGCGTTTGTCTGGTTCAGGGTGAACACTTGCACATTGACAGAAGACAAAACAGAGAATCATCACTCTTGAGTCAAACAGTGGTAAGATTAGATGCCATTAGCCATCACTGCAATGAAAACTAACTAAATAACCAAAATATGCTGAAAGCTTCTTATGGCCTGTTTACATAGAATGCATCTTTGCATTACACTGCGCTGCTTTTCCAATGTTTTTCTATGTAAACATGCACTAGACAAACATTGCATCTTTTACAGCATCTAAAATCACTGTTAGTTAATAGAATTTAATAATAATAATAAAAACGCATGTCTAGACAAGATACAAGTGAATAGGGTAAAAAATGAACTAATAGATATAACCATACTTCCCCAATTTAAGGATTGCAAACATTTTTGTATCAGAAGAAATGTTGTTTAAATATGCAAATGAGGCAATATTTAATTAAATATGCATTAATTTGCATACATTTCCAGAATGTAAACTGAATATGGGATCAATCCAGATTCAAAAATCTTGTTTGATTTTGTTGACATATTAGAGTTTTTCCAAAGGGGATTTCTCTCTTTATCACTCCATAAATCAGAAAATTCTGTCAACAGACAGAAAACATACATTTTCACCATTTATTAGGAGTAAAATGTTTAATCAGTGTGAATGATGCATGAACAAACCCCTTAATAAAAGCCTCCAAAATATACACCGCAAAAACGATTCTCTTACTTAGTATTTCTGTCTTGTTTTCTAGTATAAATATCTAAACATTCTTGAATCAAGATGCATTTACTGTACAAGTCAAATGATTTAAGATATTAAGTTTTTTTTTTTTAAATTTGAAATATCTGCTAATGGGGCAAGAAAAATAATCTTAATTTAAAGTCTAAACAAGATGATTTTTCTTGCTCCATTGGCAGATATTTGTGCTTGTTTTAAGCAAAAACTAACAAAATTTTATTTAATAAAAAAAAAAGAAAGAAAACAAGATATAATATCTTAAGTCATTTCACTTGTACAGTAAATTAATCTTGATTCAAGAAGTTTTAGATATTTATACTAGAAAACAAGACAAAAATACTAAGTAAGAGAATTATTTTTTGCAGTGACGATAGGAATAAAACTGTAAAGTTTGGTTAATGTAAGAGAAAGAACTATTTAAAGACATGCATTGGAACTGAAATACTGACACAAATATATAAAGTCCAATAAAATAAATACTCAAAAGTGTATTTAGGATGTTTTCTTTCCACTAGTCTGAAAGAAGACACATGATATGCAAGAAAAATGTTTCAGCCCCTTACACTGTTATTCTAATTTATATAAGTGTTCATTAGTGTTTGGTACCAGTGTAGAGATCGTTAGTGGGCGACTGGCGCTTGGTCTCAATCAGGTCCAGTGGTGCGAGGCTTTGAACCGTCAAACACTCAGTGAGTCCGTCCTGACTGAGATCTGTGCTGCGTCTCAACTACATCACATCAAACACAGTCACAAATCAAAATCACACGCTTTCGCAACAAAACTTAAATGCATTATAAAAATAGTATGAATGCATTATTTATGCCTTGTAATGCACCTTATAATGCACTGTATTATCACATACACTCCCAGTCAAAAGTTTTTGAACAGTAAGATTTTTAATGTTTTTTAAAGAAGTCTCCTCTGCTCAGCAAGCCTGCATTTATTTGATCAGAAATACAGCAAAAGCAGTAATATTGTGAAATATTTTTACTATTTAAAATAACTGCTTTCTATTTGAATATATTTTAAAATGTAATTTATTTCTGTGATCAAAGCTGAATTTTCAGCATATTTTAAATATTAAAAGTATTTCACAATATTACTGCTTTTACTGTATTTTGGATCAAAGAAATGCAGCTTGGTGAGCAAAAAAAAAAATTATATAAAATTTATATATATATATATATATAATGCATTTTAACTTTGGTTACAATTATTTTTGAAATGATATAATGCATTAAAACATACATTATGAATACCTTTATAAAGCATTATACATAAATGCTTTAAGTGTTACCGATTTTATCAGTGAGAAATTGATTGGACTGTAAAAAGTGGCCATAAAGTACAGCGTAGAATTGATTATTTTTGAAGTTGTAAATAGATTATTAGAGTACATTTTACAAGAAAATACTATTTCAGTCTTTCTACCTAAAAATCTTACATTTAATTCTGTGTTACTTGCCCTTTCCATGTTTTTATTTTTATGAAATTGAAATGCAATTTTCTAAACAAATGTAATTGTTTCTAAACAAATCCTGTTTTTTTGTGCTCCAGGTAATATAAAATTTATATATATATATATATAATGCATTTTAACTTTGGTTACAATTATTTTTGAAATGATATAATGCATTAAAACATACATTATGAATACCTTTATAAAGCATTATACATAAATGCTTTAAGTGTTACCGATTTTATCAGTGAGAAATTGATTGGACTGTAAAAAGTGGCCATAAAGTACAGCGTAGAATTGATTATTTTTGAAGTTGTAAATAGATTATTAGAGTACATTTTACAAGAAAATACTATTTCAGTCTTTCTACCTAAAAATCTTACATTTAATTCTGTGTTACTTGCCCTTTCCATGTTTTTATTTTTATGAAATTGAAATGCAATTTTCTAAACAAATGTAATTGTTTCTAAACAAATCCTGTTTTTTTGTGCTCCAGGTAGGATATACAGTAGAACTGAAAGTAAATTCTATGCTAAAACTAAAAGTGTAAATATCAATTTTGCAGCTTAGATTATTTAAGAAACAAATCATGAGAATTATATATTTGAAATGACATCTAATTCACAATAAGACCAAAAAAGCAAAAGCTGTCCAATTTGATTTCATGTTGACTTAAGGACTGCATTTACTTTCCAAATGATATTAAAGCAAATAGATGACAACAAGTGGAGATAATGTCTCGGATAATTGGCTCCTAATCTTTTGCTTAATTGAGCTGAATGTACAGTAATTAATCATGAGCATATGGTTTAATATCGCAGCGTTTGGAGCTCTCGACCTGCGTGATTATATTTAGCGTGTCTAAGAATACAGTATATTCTGAGTAATTCATAATAATCACAGGTGATTTTTTCTCTCCCAGAAACGTCTACCTGAGGAATCTGTATCTATGGTGACGTGACCTTTATTTGGTTCCTCCGTGATAATGAACGGATCCAACACAAGCCTGCTAACAAGTTACAAGTTTAGAGGCTTCGTTTTCAACACCCCTCTTGACAAATGCTATGCATTTTGTCGCAAACTCTCTGTGTTCGTTCATTGTGAGACAATGCTTGTGTTGTACAATCATAGTTCACACAAAAACCTTCATGTCTTTCCAAACCTGAGACAAAAGCATCATTTTTAAAGTCTTTGTTTACATATAACGATTTGAAAACTCCAAGAAGGACAAAAAATACCATTAAAAAAAGAGAGCCTACTGCTTGAAAGAAGTCTCTTCTGCTCAGCAAGGCTGCATTTATTTGATCAAAAATACAGTAAAAATAGCCAAATATTATTACGATGTAAAACAGCTGTTTTCTATGTGAATATCTGTTAAACTGTAATGTATTTCTGTGATGCGCAGCTGTATTTTCAGCATCATTACTCCAGTCTTCAGTGTCACATGATCTTCAGAAATCAGTATAATATGCTGATTTGCTGCTCAAGAAACATTTCTGATTATTATCAACAGTTGCTGCACAATATTTTTGTGGAAACTGATGCATTTTATTTTTCAGGATTCACAGATGAATAGAAAGAGCAGCATTTATGTGAAATAGAAATCTTGGTAACACTTTCTATGAAGCCCATATTTATAACACATCATAAGGGTATTCTTAAGGCATTATAATGAATGCATAATGCATTATAAAAACCTTGATTATTTTGACGGTTCCCCAACAGACAAACTGACTATAAAGTAACTCTGCAAGTACGTCAACATTCTACCAAACCTAACCTTAACCTAAGCATACTAATACTCTAATGAGAGTTAGTTGACATGTAGTTGCAAAGTTGCTTATAGACTAGGGGGACCATCAAAATAAAATGTAACCTAACATATAAACATTGCATTTTTTTTTCAGTTGAAATGATCAACTAGCTCACATCAAAATTAATATTAGCCTCACAGTGAACACTCAAATAACACTCCAAACCTAACCACTTACAAGATGTAGTAAGATACTGTGCAGATCTTAAATAAACAATGTCAAGATATATAGTCCATTATCTGCTCAGCAAGGCTGCATTTATTTGATCAAAAATACAGTAAAAATAGCCAAATATTATTACGATGTAAAACAGCTGTTTTCTATGTGAATATCTGTTAAACTGTAATGTATTTCTGTGATGCGCAGCTGTATTTTCAGCATCATTACTCCAGTCTTCAGTGTCACATGATCTTCAGAAATCAGTATAATATGCTGATTTGCTGCTCAAGAAACATTTCTGATTATTATCAACAGTTGCTGCACAATATTTTTGTGGAAACTGATGCATTTTATTTTTCAGGATTCACAGATGAATAGAAAGAGCAGCATTTATGTGAAATAGAAATCTTGGTAACACTTTCTATGAAGCCCATATTTATAACACATCATAAGGGTATTCTTAAGGCATTATAATGAATGCATAATGCATTATAAAAACCTTTATAATATGTTATATCATCTTATGAATATTCATAAGAACAGTTTTAATGTTTTATAATATTTACTTATGGTTATAGCTTTTAAGAGTATGATGATTTATAACACACAGTGAACATGTTGCATCCACTTAAATTACAATGGATTATATTTCTCATAGTTATAATGTATTATAAATCTCATATCTTGCCATCTTTCTTATGCTACTTTACTTAAAGCCATCAAAGACCACTTATAAGTATAGTAATAATAATAATATTATTATTATATTTCTCATAGTTATAATGAATTATAAGTGTCATTTCTCGCCATCTTTCTTATGCTACTTTACTTAAAGCTATCAAAGACCAC